TGAATGAGTTGATCAATTCACTCCATGGCTGTATTCCCATGCACAAATATATTCAAGTTCCCAAATCATCTCTAGCATGGATTACTGCAACAGACTTATACTTGGTCTCCAAGACTGCCAATAAATTATAGAGCTCCTTCTGAAAATATATCTATTCAAGCCATTCTCCTATTTTAAATCCACAGCTTCATATTTTGTCTCCAGCCTCCAGATTGGTAATTTGCAGAGTAAGGGCTCCACATGTAATTCAGATTACCGGATTAATGGTGTAAGCAAGTAATTGGGTTGGAATGTGAACTTACAACTCTGTATTTGGATATGCAATGTGAAAGTTTAGGAAGTTCCAAATCCAGACAAAGATTAAAAATCCTAGTACATGAATGATAGTAACTCATGATTTAAATCCTGAGCTCTGAATTTAAACAGCAGCCAGTCTTGATAGTCTAACCTTGGTAGCTTCAATAGCTTCAGCTGTCAAGACTGGCTGGTGTTTCAATCCAGTTCTCTGCCAGGATCTTAACATCTAAAATTTATAAGCTGATATTAGACCTTCAAATATATAAAAATGTAAGATGAAATCCATACAAAGCAGAAATACCCAGAGGTATAATCAACTTTTAAAGGAAAAAGGATATATTCATCCCATCTCTGAATTCCCAATCATGTCCACTTTTGGTACTTGGTTTAGTAGCATGTCAGTGAGAATCACCTAGCAACACTCTTGCTAGACAATGGTAGCCTAAGCAGTAGCTAACAGTTCCAATAAACAGCTGAGCTAAATGACTTCTTGCAAAAGCATCTAGCTGAGAATTATAATCAGGCTGGAGATCATACCTTTCGGGACAACCAGAGAAATCTGACAAACACCAAGAAATAAAACTTAATTTCTCATATCAAATAAAAGGACAAATAAAAACCTAATTGATTCACAAAGGTTTGAATAATTTGTAAAAGGTCTGAGGGTTGATATTAATTGCTGTTGCTAATGATAGGAACAGGAAAAACAACTTCTTATTACATATTTAACATGAAATAAACCATTTCATGAATTATCTCTTTTAATTCTAGCATCATTCCTCTAATACTAGATACTACTGTTATTTCCATTTCATAATTGGGATTGTGAGAAGTTATTAACTAATTTACACAAGGTCATACTAAAAGTAAGTGGTGACTTGAATCTATCTTCTGAGTGAGTTGACTCTAAAGCCTGTTTATTTTTTTTTTAAGATTTATTTATTTATGCATACAGAACTGGGATACAAGCCAGAGGTGCAGGGGTGGTGACAGAATTCACCAGAGACAGAGTAGGGGGCAGAAAAGGCAGATCAATGAAGTACATTGCTGAGGGGAGCAGCGGGCAAAACAAGAGAGATCTGCCACACCATATGGATCACCTCCAAGGAGGGGGATCAAACTTGCACTGAAGTGGCTGTGGCTAGCTTGCAGTGATGCATTGTAACGTTACCACTGCGCCATCAGGGAGGGCCCAAGCCTGTGTTCTAAATCTTTAACATTATCAACTAGGGTCATGGTAATGCACATAATTTCTTCATGACTTAGGATCTAAGAAAGTGGAAACCTAGGTCTCAGAGTCAAACATTCAAGGTACATTTAAATTCTATCTTGTCCAGAGTTTAATTTCTTTCAGGACCTATACAGTTCTTGCAAGGACTCACAGACAATAGGGAAAATACCTCATGCACACACCACTGGGTAGAAAGATGTAAGTGTTAATTATCTTGTCATTTGGGTCTGCTTTTATACGCCTCTGTATAGTTACTTGAATCTTATGTATCATTTCTTTAGGATTTTTTATAGACCACTGAGCATCTAAAGAAAAAAAAAGAGGGGGATGGTATAGCAAAAGACATAGAATTCTTTCTTTTCAAGTAAAATAAATGTCCATGGAAAGTTTCTTGACAGACAAATTACCGCCAATCAGAAATAAAACATTAAATTCTAAATCAATGAACCTCTTTGGCTCTAAATATGTGGGGGGGAAACTCAGTAATATGGTTATTGGAGGCACTGTTAGGTCTGACAAAATTTAGCTTTATGCTGGTCCTCAGTCTGAAAGGCAATTACAAAATTTGAATAGCTTTCTGATAAGGTGCTGACTCTAGTAACCCGTCTGTGCATGATTAACAAATTCTATTATTGTACCTTTTCATTAAATGATCTCTCCATCTCAATCTTATCTGAAAGCTAGCTCTCTACTAAGTATACCAATTCCCCAATAGTTCTCTCAAGTACAAGCTGTTCATTCTTCTTTAATGAAGTTCATAAAATGTACTTCAGACTCAAGCACCACAAATAAGACCTAAACCCTGGACCCACTATAACCTTAAAAGTAAGACTCAAAAGGATACAATCACTTCTAAGTAAGTTAAATGCAGTTATAACAAACTCTAACACTGTTTACAAGAATACAGTAAAATACAGCACCAATAACATAATATTCAAAATGTCAGGCATCGAGGCTGCTCTCTGTGGTTCTTTCCTCACAGTGGGGAGACTAAGGAGATGGAGAGTGAGTGCATTGTCTGTTTTGATCTAGTCACAGAACTCACAAGGACAATTCTGCAATATTCTATCAGTTAGAAGCAAGTCACAGTTGGGCCAGATTCACATGGAAGGCAGTAATATGTCATTTCTTAATAAGGTATGCCAAGGTTCTAGACTAAAGTGTGGAGAAAGGGAGACTATAGACATTTTCTGTTACAGTTTTTTTATTCTTGTTTATTTTGTAAGGAATGTGACCATAACATGCCTGGGAGTATTTTTATGTTCATCCTTCTAAAGAAGTATTGATTTTTTTTTAATTAGTATGAAGTTTCTATGAAATCCAGAACAAATTATGCTAGAGTTAAATGGTTATCTCCATCTTTCCCTTTAAATTTAAGTTCTCAGTGTACATATTATATTTTGTAAAGATTCTGCTTGGTATTTTCAACATTTGTGTCATTATAGGATCTATTTTTATTGACTTTTCTTCTACTGTGAGTCACATTTTCTTGCTTTTTTGATGTCAAATTTCAGCTTGTGCAATAAAATTGGAAATGCTAAGTAATCAGGAGTCTAGAATTCTTTCAGACTCATCAGAGACTGTTGAGTTTGTTTTCTTTTGTTGTTATTGTCTTTGTTTTTTGGCAAGCAGTTATTTAACTGGTAGAATAACTTTATTCTTGTCAAGTCTTACTCTTAGGCTTTACTAGGCTGGATTGAGATTAGCTCTTATCCAGAGCTTTAGTAGCACTCTTAAGGCCTAACTTTTGGAATCCAACTGAATGTACAGGCTATTTAGCTGGTTTTCCACTCTGGAAGGTCAGACTTCCAATGTCCCCCAAAGCTAATGACCTCTGGTATTTCTATTTAGTTCACAGATTCTCAGTGGCTATTCTCTGTCCAGCCTCACAGAGTTTTGCCTTGTACATGGTAATTCTTTGATCATAGACTCATTGGTTTTCCATTGCAGATTTTCAGTTACTTCTCTAAGCAACTGCCTGTTCTTGAATAGCTTGTGCCACAAATTCCAGCTGCCTCACTAGAATCTATATGCCAATTTCTGGAGGTTTTGCTTTTTTGTTTGTTTGTTTGTTTGTTTGTTTTTTCCTTTCTTTCTGAAATCCTTATTTGAGATCTCCTTTCCTCTGTTACTCTTTGGCTAGTGCCCCCAAACAGAAAATGAGAGTGAATGTCAAGTTTACCTGATGTATATTCCCTCTCTGAAGGATTACACCCTTATTCTTTCTGCTGTCCATTGCAATGAAAAGTGTAGCTTCACAGAGTTTAGTCAGTTTATAGGCATTTATGGCACAGGGTGATTTAGATAACTATTACTCTATGTTGACTGAAACTAAAAATCTCTATCATACCTTTCTAAGTTAAAAGTAGTATAGCCAATGAATCCTTAATTAGTAGCCATTAATAGTCAACCAAAGGACATAAGTAAGCAGAAAAAATACTTAAAAAAGAGTCAGAGGAGAAGTATTAGCAGACTCATATAATTTCCCACTATTTAAACTTTCTTAGGATCTGAAAGAAAATTTCCAGGAGCCCTATCATTTTTGTTCATTTTTATTTCTCACTGACAGCACAACGAACACCACAACTCATTCCTTCCTTCTTTCTTCTAACCGAACCCTAATTTTGTGTTCAACTCCAAGCACATGACTCATGATGAACGAACTATGCTAATTATACCAGATACTCAATTTCACAAGCTGCCTTCGATGTGGATACAACTATGCAACTGCCTCTAACCAGTAACACGCAAGGAGAATGGTGTGGAGGCTCCGAAAAGGTTTTAGTTTCCTTAATGAAAAGAATAGGTGAGGTTGGTCCTGTTTCTTGTATTGAATGTAAATATCATCTGACTGTAATATATACAGAGATGAGAAGTGCACACTTGTTTAAGTATGGCAGAGGAGAGGGAATGAGAGTCTGGGTTCTTGATGAATCATCAAACAACTAAATCAATAACTGACTGCTTCTGAGAAAAATAAACCCTTTTTGTTTAAACTACTTTGTCCAAGGTCTTCTGTTTCCTGCAATAGAAGGCATTTCTGACTGATAAAGGCACACATCATTTGTTCGTCAGACTAAGGCGAGTTTGTAGATAAGATGTAAAAATACTTTCGAAATATAACATAAAAAGGAAATGGGTAGGGAATCCATTCTTTTGAAGTTTTTGGACTAATCGGGCTTTCTTTAGTATCTATTAAATGCATGTTTGCATTATATCTCTCTCTAGATTGCAAACTTCCTTGTAGCTCAGGACCATCTGTCTTCTAAATATGGGCCGATGCACGGTTGAGTGTTCCTATTAGCTTGCTGATACAAATGTTTCTAGGTGTCCTGTAAGTTTTCTCTATCATCTAAGTATTCTTTGACTCCATCAGGAACAACAACCCCCAAAGACATAAAACTTTCCCCCCCACACTAAATGTGAGTATACAAGTAGCACAAACAAACAACGGGATGATTTACTGTCTTACGTTCACATTCTCTGACATCCAAGTTGAACTGCTGTAATGCTCCCAAGGTAAGCTGCCTTACTTCAGCTTCTAGCAAAAGTTGCATCAAGGATGTGGCTAAATGCTTGCAAGCTGACATACATGCTGTCTGGGCCACCTTCCCCTGAAATATAAGAGTGTAAATCAAAATGTTAATGGATTAAAATGAAATTCCAACAGAAATTAAATTCATTGACTTTTCATTTGGCATTGTCTTTGAGCTTTTCTTTATCCTGATAACCCGCACTCAAATAATCTTGAATTTTGTGATATATGATGGCGCTCATCCTCAATTTTAGCTATATCACTGTCAGTCCTGGCAGTAATAACAGTAAGTAAAAATTCAGAAAACCCAGCTATATAGTCAAAAACTCTTGTTTTCTCTAAGTCAACAACAAATAAACAATATTCAAAATTCTAATCAAAATCTTAAACTGAGAAGAAATTTTTCCAGAGAACAAATTTCAAAAAGTCCCTTCCAAACTACCATAATTCTTAAAAATAATATGTAAGCAACAACCTGTAACCTACTAGAAAGTAAAGTGTTTACTGCTTTATAAATAAACACATAAAACGAGAAAATGGCTTAAGATAAAAAGAATTACTTAAAAATTAAAGACAAATATTTTCTTAAAAACTGAAGAGGTTTAAGAACATAAACTATGCAAATTTTTAAATAATGATAATAGACTAATATTTTATTATTTTCTTTAAAATAATCAAATATTTCATATTTAATGACTCACATCTCATTTTCAGGTCTAGATTATACATCATAGAAAATATATTCACTTTTCCCCAAACACATATTTAATTTATGTGTGTGTATATATATATATACATACATATATATATATATATCCTCTACTCTGATATTTAAGTCTGAATTTTCATATTAGTCAATAGAAATTACTTTTCTTGAAATTATAAAATATTTCAGCCATGTAGGAAGATACACACAATTATATGATAAAAACACAGACCCACCAAATATTATAAATATGGTTTAAGTCCCTATATTATCCCTTAATCAGTTTCTTTCCACTCGCTACCCAGAGGTCAACAGGTAAATATTGCTGATGTTAGATTTACCATTGAATTAAAAATATATATATTATGACAAGAATATAATAGCAAACAATGTACTGTACTATTCAATGTATATTTAAATTTTTCTCTAATACACATGGCAAGCCTGGCAATATATTTTAAATTTTCTTTGTTGTTTCAATTCTCTATGAAAATTTTTAATGCAATGCATATGGCTCTAGTTTATCAATTATTCCACTGGATCCCAATCTAGGAGTAAGAAATCATGAATATGCTAGATTCTGACTATAGTGTCCTTTATGTGTTGATTTCATATGTTTCTCTGGATGAAGGCCTTCCACAAAAGAATTGGACTTTAAATGGAAAAACCATATTAACATCTCAAATGAATTTTCAAATTTAATTATCTTTTTATATACATTAGATAAATCCTTTAAGATTATTTCTCAGACTTACTAGGATAAAGGGCATTAATATTTTGATTCATAATGCATATGAATAATGCATATGAAACATAGATAGAAATCAGATTCCCAAGTATTAAACTAAACTACTTTGCCTGAGGTATGTTCTGATTGACAATGTCCCCAAATATTTCTAAGAATATTATTTAATTACAAGTAACCAGCACTTTGTACAATTATAATTTGTTCTAAAAACAAGAAATATTTTATGATTTTTATGTCTTTGATTACTTGGTGAGATTGAATATTTTTGAAAGTTTTATTTATTTGACAGTAATGCTATAGCATATAAAAAGCAGAATAATAAACAAATCCTACTTTAGTATACATGCTAAAATTATATGTCCTGAAGATCCACACTCTCTGTAGATGATTTAAGACAAGAAGTGGAAATACTAAAATTAGGGAGTACTGGAGACCAAATGAAAGAGACAATGGAAAAATAGAAGAAAATTCATCTTGTAAAAGAAATGCACGTTCAATGGCTTGTTTTCAGTTAAACCCACAGAGACTGGGAACAGCTACTGACGGTGGCAGAGTCTAGCACAGTTGTCAGGCTGTGCCCCAGGTGAACTCTCACAGGAACAGGTCCAAGGTCTGAGGTGCCCTGTAGCTGTTCAACAGTGAGAGGGAGTGAAGAGAAATGAGAGTGAAGTGAAATGAGAGTAAACTGAAAGCAGATGCCCAAAGACTCATAAATGACCAAAAGTCAAAGAAAAGGGCAACTCCATCTCTTGGGCATTACTATATGCCTCAAATGTACGATACTTTAAAAACTTGACAAGGTATTTCATTCAATTTTCACAATCATTCCTGAAAGTTGGTATAATTCCTCCTTGTAGATGAATAAGCTAAGGCTCTAAGAGATTAAAAATCAGGCCTTGCAGATGCTACCAGTGCCAGACCTCCTGTGTGGCACAGCCCACCGTGTTCTTGGACATTGCTATTGAGGGCAAGCCCTTGGGCCGTGTCGCCTTTGAGCTGTTTGCAGACAAAGTTCCAAAGACAGCAGGAAACTTTCATGCTCTGAGCACTGGGGAGAAAGGATTTGGTTATAAAGGTTCCTGTTTTCACAGAATTAGTCCAGGACTTATGTGCCAGGGTGGTGATGTCACACTCCATAATGGTATTGGCACTAAATCCATCTAAGGGGAGAAACTTGATGAGAATTTAATCCTGAAGCATAGAGGTCCCGGCAACATGTCCATGGCAAATACTGGGCTCAACACAATGATTACCAGTTTTTCATCCACCAAAGACTGAGTGGCTGGATGGAAAGCATGTGGTCCTTGGCAAGGTGAAGGAGGGCATGAATATTGTGGAAACCAAGAAGGTCACCATTGCTGACTCTGGGCAGATCTAATAAAGTTGGTTAATGTTTTATTCACCAGACCATTCCTCTGTTGCTCATGAGCACATCCCTTCATCCTCATCTGCTTGAAATATTCCATAATCTTTATGCTTTTCATACAGTTCTTTGGGTTCTGCATCTTCCTCATCCCCTTTCAAGTGTAGCTGGACCACAGAGTAAAATTTATAAAGATGAAATAAACAATAAACAAATATTTGCCCTTAAAATCTTAAGACAGGCTCATACAGTTACTTTGTAATTTAAACAATCCTAAATCTGTGTCATTCCACTAAATCACCACCTACATAACTGTAATAAATCTTGCAGTCTTACACTAAAACAGGTGCTAGCTGTGTGTGTGTGTGCCTGCACGCATGTGCACCCTGCTTGATGTTCATTGAGTTTCTTGGAAATAATGGGTTTATCGTTTTCATCAACTTAAAATTCTTTCTAATCCTGACTTCTTCAAACAATTCTTTTTCTCCTCTCATAGGAGTCCAATAACAGACACATGTGACATTGCCTGATAATACCACAGGTAAGTGAAGTTATGTAAAATTTTCATACCATTTTTATCTTTCTACATCACTGTGGATAGTTTCCATTTATCAGTTTCTCAATCTTATCTTCCACTTAAATTTTGCTGCAAGTTTAATTCAGTATATTTTTCATTTCTGATATAGTTTTTCTTTTATTAATGATTCATCATGTTTTTATATCCTTGTGACAGATTTTTCTTAATGCTTCTTTATTTAGTAGCAGGTATAATTTTTGTTGATTTTTAAAATTGTATCACTTTTTCATTGAGATGACATTGGTTTACAACATTGTAGATGATTTAAAAGTTCATTTGATTCATTTTTTATAACTTCTATTTTCCTTTATACTTATATTTACCTTGAAATTGTGTACATATTTTATACAATTGTGTACACACATACATGTGTATAAAGGAGAGACAAAAGAGAGAGATAAAGAAAGCAGCTTTAAAGCATATATTTTCTAATTCTGTCATTTCTGCATCTATTTTTGTGGACTGATTGTCATGTTATGGACTATTTTCCAGTGGAAAACTGGAAATACAGTCCATGACTATATTTTCTTGCTTCTTTTGTATCTAGTAAATTTCTATTGAATACTATATTGTTACTATCATTTTGTTGAGTGTCTTCATTTTGTTTCTTTTAAGAATGTTGACTTTGTTTACGGCAGAGTTCAATTTCTTTTGAGTCAGTGTGAATTCTGAAGTTTGTTCATATAGAGATTAGAATCTTATTTTTTCTAAAGTTACTTTAGGCTCATTACTAGCTACACCTCTGGTGATACTACAGAATACTTCACAATTCCCTTCAACATTTGAACACCTTCTAATCTATGTGAGTTTTGGCAACTGTGCCCAGCTTCAGTGTCATGGAAGCTGTTTTTGAAATACAACCACATGAACCTACATGCAAGCCTCTAACTAGTCAGTCAAAGCATCAACAGGATCCCAATGCAGAGTCTTAGTCCCAGTCCTCTTCTCAAAAGTACCTCTTTAAAATATTGGTAACTTCTTCCCCAAACTCCACTCTTTGTCTTTTTACTTCAACAATACTGTCAGGTTTTGCTTGGATTACCCCTCCCTGAAAACAGTCTGTGAAGCACCTGCAAGGACTTCATTTGTTTACCTTTCAGAATTCACTGCCTGTTTTTCACTATATGGAAGAAATTCACTGCCTGTTTTCCACTATATGGAAGAAATTATTTCATTTGTTTTGTTTGTTATTCCAAATATTTATAGTTGAGAATAAATCTGACACAGTTAATGCATTATGCTGAGTAATGAGCATCTCATCTTTATTTCTGAAAGATGTTTCCTGTTTACTGAATTATAATATACAGTACTTTTGAAATTTTAAGTTTCATTTTGTTGTTCTCTGTCCTCTACTGTTTCTATGAGAAGTCTGTCACTGTTCTTAATTTCCCCTTTGAATGTGTTTGTATTTTGTCACTGCTTTTAAGATTTTTCTATAAATTTAATATTCAGCAATCTATGATGTGACTAGAAATAGTTTTCTTTATATTTATGTTACAGGAATTTGCTTAGAAATTGATGCATTTTCTTAGATATGGGAAATTCTCAAGCATTATTACTTAAGTACCACCCTGAACTATTTTCATCTTCTCCTCTTTCTGGAACTTCAAGTACATTTATGTTACAGTCTTCAATTATATTCCATCTCTCTTGTATGGCCTATTTCACTTCTAAATTGAAAAAAA